TGAGGCAGAGATGGGCCTGCCTTCTTCATGGAGCTTAGTGGAGATAGATATTAAACAGGATAATGACTTACTTAGAGTTGTAAATAGTGTTACCAAGGAAAAATACAATGTGGGACGAGCATGTAATGTGGGGTTCACACCTTGTCTAAATGGAAAATAACATTTAAGCTGAAACATAAAGATTTGAGGCAGCAATTAAGGGAAAGGGGTGTGTGTGTGTGTGTGTGTGTATGTGTGTCTTGGAGTCAGAAGCAGGCATTAGGATAGCCTGAGGCAGCAAACTGTGTGAGTAATTTGGGTGACTTGACTTAGCATATTTTAAAATTTTGCTAATTTGCAATGTTTTATTGCTTTTTTTTTTTTTATCGCCTTACATATTTTAATGAATTCTGAAAAATAAACAATTTGTTTTGAGGGCCATATCGTTCTGTCTAGAAATAGCTTTGACCGACAAGGCCTAATTTCATCATATGGGAAAATGCCATGTCTTAAAACTATTTTTATGGATTGCTTGTCAGCCACAGAGAATGAGTTGGCCAAGAATTTTTATTAGAGAAAATTGAAATTATTATAAAGCATTTAATAATTTACATATATTTTCTGGTCTAATGAAACTTTTCCAGTTGTTTGGAAATTTTAAGATTCTTTTTTAGCCCGGCTAGTGTGGTTCAGTGGTTGAGTATTAACCTATGAACCATGAGATCCTCAGTCAGGGGGCATACCCAGGTTGCAGGCTTGATCCGGAGGGGTACAGGAGGCAGCCAAGCAATAATTCTCTCTCATCATTGATGTTTCTACCTCCCCCTTTCCCTTCCTCTCTGAAATCAACAACGAAAAATATATATAAAACAAGATAGCCTTTAAATGTTTTATTTAAGCTTTGATTTCCTTTTGTGTAAAATCTTCCTATATAGGAGGTAATATGTAAATTGACCCTCCTGGCCTCACAAAATGGCTGCTTACAACCAAGCTGGCAGGGGGGTTAGTGAGGGACAAACAAATGATTGAATAAGCAGGCTGTGTGGGGTGACCAGGCTCGCGGGGGAGGGGAGCAGTAAGAGGCGACCTGGCCAGTGGGGAGGCAGTTGGGGACGATTAGGCTGGCAGAAGGGGCAATGAGCGGTGGCCAGGCCAGCAGTTGGGGGCATCCAGGTTGGCAGAGGGAGGCAGTTGGGGGTGACAAGGTTGATGGGGAGGTATAAGGGGTGACTAGGTCGGCGGGGTGGCAATTAGGAGCGACCAGGCCAGCAGGGAGGGGGCAGTTTGGGACAATCTGGCTGGCAGCAGGGGGAAATTATGGGTGATCAGGCCAGCAAAGGGGGGGTGGGGCAGTTAGAGGCGACCAGGCAGGCAGGTAGGTGAGAGATTAGGAGCCAGTGGTCCAGGATTGTGAGAGGGATGTCTGATTTCTGATTCGAGCCTAAACTGGCAGTCAGACATAACCCAAGGAGTCCTAGATTGGAGAGGGTGCAGGCTAGGCTGAGGGGACACCCCCTCCCCCACCACCCCGCGCTGTGCATGAATTTCATGCACCAGGCCTCTAGTCCTATATAATAAAAGGCTAATATACAAACTTACCCTAACGGTGGAGCGACCAGTCACTATGACACGCACTGACCAATGGGGGTGGGAGGTGGGGCAGACACTCAATGCAGGAACTAAGGATGTCTGAGAGCTTCCAGGCTGCCAGAGAGATGTCTGACTGCCAGGTTAGACCTGATCCCCAGGAGAGCAGGCCTAGGCTGGCAGGTGGGCATCCCCTGAGGGCTCCTGGGTTGCTAGAAGGATGTCTGACTGCCAGCTTGGGCTTATCCTCTGGGGAGCAGACCTAAGCTGGCCAGGTGGACATCCCGCGAGAGGGCGCAGGCCAGCTGAGGAATCCGCCCCCCAAGTGCATGAATTTTTATGTACTGAGCTTCTAGTGTAGATTAAAAATATATTTCAAAAAATTCTTTTTTTAGTGAATTCTTTCAAAACTTAATATTGAGAAGTTTTAAATTATGCTCCTCTTGAACTTGAAACCTCAATTTTAACAACTTGTTTTCTTGGGCCTGCTGTGTCACTGTTTAACTGATAAATCAGGAATGGACATTTTTAAAGCCGTTTCATAGGATTTATGAGAAAAGTGAGGCATATTTGATAATAGTGATCTTGATTAGAAAGAACGTGGATCTGGAAGTTTTAAGTTCTGAAGCTGAGTTTTATATCCCCAGAACATTATTTGTGTATTGTCTATGGCATTTTCTTATTTCTTAATATATTTATAGTAAAATGGAATTAAACTTGGTTCATTCTTTGTATAACTGTTTTGAGAATTGTTATATTTATATTGTTCTATATGCTTAGAGTGAGAATTATCAATGTAAGTTATTCATTAAATAATTTAAAACTCCTATATTCAAAGCAAAGTATGTGCTATTATAATTAGAAAAGACGGAAAAGGTAGGTTTGATCCCCAACTGCCCTATTCAGTTGGGTATTAGACCTCTACCACGTTTCAGTGTGCAGGAGGACACTGCAACCAGCTGAGCCACACTGGCCAGGGCTCACTCAGTTCTTGACCACAGGGGTGATTATATTGGAATAAACTACATACAAAGTTGTATAACCTCCGTTCCTCCAATAACATCTTAAAATTGTATTTCCAGTTACTGAAGTGCTGCCTTATTTTCTTAAACCTTTTATAAGTAACATATCTGTTATTGTCCATGTACATGGATGAGATATAGATTTAAATCCTAGGTGACCTTGGGCAAATCAGCCTTTCTGAATCTCAGTTTCCTTTGGGTTATTATAAAGATTGTGACATTAAGTGACAGGACATATGTAAAGAAGGATAAATAGGTATATAATTAGTGTTCCTTTTTCTTTTCTGTAAGTCCACTTCAATGAATAATAAATATTTTGGACTCATTGCTATGGGTGTTGTTGTTTTTTTCATTTTTAAACATTTTCTTATTCAGAGTATAATAGTATGCAAGATGCTATTTATTTTGAAGCTTGGGAACCTACATTTTCCTCTTAGAGTTGCTCTTTTTCATTTAACTCAGTTGTTTGTAACAGTTGCTATTTTAAACACTTTGAATTAAGTGACTTTTTTGAGATGTGTTCTGTCTGGTGTGGTCATGTGATTTGTATATAACATAAAGTGTTCCTACAAGTTCTGAGAGCAGTGGTCACTTTTGGAACAGCTTGTATTTTTAGTTTTCTCTCAGTAATGGTCAAGCTTACTTTAGCATGTGAGATGAACTCAGTCTGGTTGCAAAAAAGAAAGCTACAGCTGTTTTCACAATCTAATCCTTCAGCAAAGTTTGCCTTTTTATTTTTTATTTTTTGGCCTTAATTCTTAAAAAAGTTTCTTTTTGAATTTCTTTTTTTTTTTTTTTTTATAATATATTTTATTGATTTTGTACAGAGGAAGGGAGAGAGATAGAGAGTCAGAAACATCGATGAGAGAGTCATCGATCAGCTGCCTCTTGCACACCCCCTACTGGGGATGTGCCCGCAACCAAGGTACATGCCCTTGACCGGAATCGAACCCGGGACCCTTCAGTCCCCAAGCCGATGCTCTATCCATTGAGCCAAACTGGTTTCGGCTCTTTTTGAATTTCTGCTTAATTTACAAATGTTTTTCATAATTAGTCTCTCATTTCTTCTATTAGGTCTCTTTTAGCATGTCCATTTTTAAGTTATAGATCTGTCATTACCTATAAAATTTATAGAATTAATACTCAATGGTATATTTAGCTCATAATTTTTAATTTTTAAACACAGTTTAGAAAATACAGTTTTGTTGATAAATGTGTGCCTCCCTCCTATCGCTGGCATCATTAAGCACCATAATACCAATTCATAACTTTTTTACTTGCTCAAGAAAAGCTCTACCAATTATTGGTAGACTTTTGTTATTTTAGTTTGAAGAAAACCAAACTTGAACTGGAGAAAAAGAAATAGCAATTTGGGGAGTAGTTTACATTAAACACCTGGAACCAAAGTAGAGTTTATGGGAAAATATATCATAGAGCTAGCTTATGCACTAAAATGAAGAAAACAGGCTAATAAAAAGTGTCTCATTCAGAAAATTATTATCTACTACTGTGCAGTGCAACGTGGGAAATGTTGAGTTGAGTTGCTTATGCCACATAAACGTAGAGATATATCATAAGTAATTGTCTGAAGTTTGGAAGAGGGATCTGGGCAGGAGGTATAGAAGAGTTTTCAGAATATTGGTGTTAATTGATGCTTTTGAGGAATTGTAAACACCCAGGGGAAGAATTTATAGAAGAATGAGCAAGAAATTACATAGATCCTTAAAAAAATAGGAGTATCTTAGAATAAAAGTTAAAGAGGGAGGGGGAAAACCAGGGAAATGTGACATCATGAAAACTAAGGAAAAAATAGCTTAAAAGTAGAAATTAGTCAACATCTACATAATAAAAGCTCAAGTGACTGTTATGGCCGAATGACCATAATGACTGGTCGCTATAATGTGCTCTGACCACCAGGGGGCAGATGCTTAATGCAAGAGTTGCCCCCTGGTGGTCAGTGCACTCCCAGAAGCCAGGTTCACAGCTGGCTAGTGCAGCGGTGGTGGCAGGAGCCTCTCCCACCTCTGCTGCAGCACTAAGGAGCAGTGAGCAGCAAGCTGAGCAGTAGGAGCAGTGAGCAGGCAGGCAGGCAGTAAGGAGCGAGGAATTCCAGATTGTAAGAGGGAACAGACTGGGCTGAGAAATGGACCACCCCTAACCCCTAGTGAATGAATTTCGTGCACCGAGCCTCTAGTATTGATAGAATTGCCAAGGAAGATGGGGTCTAGAAAAAACTGCCCTTTGGATTTAGCACTGACTCTGAGTAGCACAGGTTTAATGAGTGGTGGTGGTGAAAATAAAAGCCAGATTTATGCTTTGATTTATATTATTAAATAATTTTTAAAATTGGCCATTATTTTGTCTAAGTAATTTTTTTTTTTCATCTTAGCAACCAGAGCTGGACTGGCCATTATGGAGGAGGAGCTGCAGCATTCGCACTGTGTGAATTGTGTCAGTAGACGGTGTATGACCAGACCAGAGCCTGGGATTTCCTGTGACTTAATTGGCTGTCCATTGGTTTGTGGCGCAGTCTTCCATTCTTGTAAAGCTGATGAGCATCGACTTTTATGTCCATTGGAACGAGTGCCTTGCTTAAATAGTGGCTTCGGATGTCCATTTACAATGGCTCGAAATAAAGTTGCTGAACATCTAGAAACATGTCCTGCAAGTGTGGTGTGCTGTACAATGGAATGGAACAGATGGCCAGTTAGTTATGCAGATCGGAAGTCGTATGAAAATCTAAGCAGAGATGTTGATGAAGTGGCACAATTAGATATGGCCTTGGCCCTTCAAGACCAAAGGATGCTCTTAGAATCTCTCAAAGTAGCCACCATGATGTCAAAAGCGACTGATAAAGTATCACGACCTAGAGAACAAATATCAGTTAAATCAGCTGTTCCAGAGATACCACATGCTAATGGTTTGGTGTCTGTTGATGAAGGATCTTATGGTGCACTTTATCAAGCTACTGTAGAAACAACCAGAAGTTTGGCTGCTGCTTTAGACATCCTGAACACCGCCACAAGAGACATTGGCATGTTAAGTACGAGTCTTCCTGCTTCCACAAATGAAATGAATGAAGAGGAGAATGCCAGAGAAAGCTTACAGAATAGAAACTTAAAAGACCAAGACCATGTTTATGAGGATGAGATAGGAGCAGTAGGTGGAATTGACCATAACAATACAAATCAGAATGCCCAATCTGAACAAAATGGTTCAAGTGATTTGTTATGTGACTTGGATACCAGCTCTAATGACACTTCTGCTCTTTGTAATGGCCTTCCTTTGGAAAATATATGTACACAGGTCATAGAACAGAACCAGAATTTACATGGTGATTCTGGAGAAAGTAACTTAACAAATGGAGAATGTGTAGCATCAGATGGCATTTCAGAACCTTCCAGTTCACTTTCAGTAGCAGCACAACTTAGGGAAGTAATACCACCTAATGCTTTGCCTAACGGTACAATTCAGCACATCCTCATGCCAGATGACGAGGATGAAGGAGAATTGTGTTGGAGAAAAGTAGACTTAGGAGACCTGAGGAATGTGGATGTCTTATCTTTCAGTCAACCTCCTTCATTCAAATTTCTTTCCAATTCATGTTGGTCTAAACCAAAGGAAGATAAAGCAGTAGATACATCAGATTTGGAAGTTGCAGAAGATCCAATGGGCCTCCAAGGAATAGATCTAATCACAGCAGCATTACTGTTCTGTCTAGGAGATTCTCCAGGTGGAAGGGGTATATCTGATAGTCGCATGGTTGATATTTATCACATTGACTTTGGAACTCAGACTTTTTCACTTCCATCTGCAATATTAGCTACAAATACAATGGTTGGGGAAATTGCTTCAGCTTCAGCTTGTGATCATGCCAACCCACAGCTTTCAAATCCAAGTCCTTTTCAGACACTTGGGCTGGATTTAGTATTGGAATGTGTCGCTAGGTACCAACCCAAGCAGCGTTCAATGTTTACATTTGTTTGTGGACAGCTATTTAGAAGAAGAGAATTTTCTTCACATTTTAAGAATGTGCATGGTGACATTCATGCTGGACTCAATGGCTGGATGGAACAGAGGTGTCCTTTAGCATATTATGGCTGTACCTATTCTCAACGTAGATTTTGTCCATCAACACAAGGAGCAAAGATTATACATGATCGCCATTTGAGGTCATTTGGAGTTCAGCCATGTGTATCTACAGTATTAGTAGAGCCTGCTAGAAACTGTGTGTTGGGATTACATAGTGACCATCTAAGTGGTCTTCCTTTTGAGCTTCTGCAACATATTGCAGGCTTTCTGGATGGCTTCAGTCTATGCCAGCTTTCATGTGTATCCAAGTTAATGAGGGATGTATGTGGCAGCCTGCTTCAGTCTCGTGGAATGGTCATATTGCAGTGGGGGAAAAGGAAGTATCCAGAAGGAAATTCATCATGGCAGATAAAAGAAAAGGTCAGTTTAATTTATTTGTATTATCTCCTTATTTGACATATAATAGGCACTTAATAAGGTTGGTGAATTAATGAAAATGTTTGATATAGATCATTCTTAAAACTTAACTCAGTATGACAGATAGCCAGAAATGTCATAATCAATATTTACTGTAGACATTCTAGAACTAGATTTTAATCTTATATGGCAGAGGCCACTTCTGTTTCTTTATTCAAGCAGTTTTGTATCCATTTATTTCTTCTGTAACAACTCCATTTGTTTGTAGCCATGTTAACCACCTTCTAATTTGGACTCCATCTGAAACATTTTCACCATAGGACAATGAGGGAAGCAAGAGAAGGTTTTTTACTGCTTACAATTGCCATTTTATTTCCATTCGTAGCAGTTTCTTTCTTAGGACTTTCTTGTTTCAGGTGGAACTTAAATAGGGAGAGATGAGACAAAAGTTACTAGTAAGTGACCAATTCAGTATTTGGGGGCAGGTGGACATAAATGGATGGATGTGGATATGTATTCAAGTGAGATATGAGTAGGGGTGGTAGAATTTGATATTGGTGGTGGGGACTCTGGGTTTAATACAATAAAAGGGAGTGTTGCATATTGGAAGCTTGAGCTGGGAACAAATCCTGGCTCCATCATTTTTCTCCCGTGACACCTATTTTTGCCCAGCTTTTTAAAAAAATATGTTCTTATTGACTTAAGAGAGGAAGGGAGAGGGAGAGAGAGATAGAAACATCAATGATGAGAGAGAACCATTGATTGGCTGCCACCTGCAGCCTCCCACTGGAGATCGAGCCCGTAACCTGGGCATGTGCCCTGACCGGGAGTCAAACCATGACTCCTCGTTCATAGGTCAATGCTCAACCACTGGAGCATATCAGCTAGACTCAACTTTTTTTTTGTTTTTTTTTTTTATCCATAATCCAGAAGAAACTAGCAGGTATCTTTGTAGCTGTTTTCATTTCAGAACTTCTATAATATGGAACCTTGCATTTTATAAAGGGAAAAATTTGATAAATTTCACATTGGTGTTTGTCTACTTTGTTTTTACAGTCTTAAGGTTTTTTTCTTCCACTCATTGCTCCAGCTTTCAGAATTTTACTTCTAATTCTGTGTTTTCCTAAGGCAGAAACGTCATACTTTTAATACTTGCTGCATGTACAGATATATATATATATATATATATATATATATATATATATATATATATATATATATAATTTTTTTCCCCTCCTCATTTTCTAGATGATTTGGTGTCTTCTCCAATTTGGCATGGAACTCTGAAATGGCCTCCTGGCTTCTTTTTTCCCTTGCCCACTGGTTTTGACCAATGAGATGAAGTATTTTCTGTAGTTCTTTTCCTGCAGAAAATCTACCTACTCTTAGAGTTTAAATTGCCATTATTTACTATCCACACATCTATGTCCTGGCCATTGTCTTATTTCAGCTCCACAGACCATTATATACAGCCATTTACTGGACATCTCCACTGGATTATTTCACAGCTTCATCAAACTTAGCACGTCCAACTTAATCTATTTTTCTTTCTTAATCTCAGAAAGTGGAATTATATCAAATTGCCTAGAGTAGGAATTTGAAAGTTAAGGTTGATTCTCATTTTCCCTCTTTATTTCCATATCCCAGTAATCACAAATTGCTACAGCATCTTCCTTCTCAGACTTACCAGGTTTGGTTTATTGTTTCCATGACCATTTCCCTAGTTCAGTCACATCTTTAGTTCTCCCCTGGAGTACTGCAGTAGCCTCCTTCTAACTGGATTTCTGGTTTCATTTGTGTCTCTCTTTGACATATTCTCTGCCTAAGAACTAGAGGGACAAACATCGTCTTAAATACAGTTCTTAAGCTGCAGTGTTTAAAATTTTTTAAATGTTTATCCATTGCCCTAGGATAGAGACTCCTTAATGAAACATTTAAGGTTTTTTTTTGTTGTTGTTGTTTTTGTTTTTAATAATCTTGTCCTCACCTCTTTACCTTCCTTTTATTACTCTCTATTTCAGTCATGTTGATTTATGTACTGTTGCCTGATGTTTTCTTTCTTGCCTAAGGCCTTTGAGTACTTGCAATATGCTAGACAGTGGACTAATAAGCATTTTACTTTTGTTAATTTATTTACTCTTCTGTCCCTATTTTATGGAAGAAGAAATTGAGGTTTAGAGAGGTTCAGTAACTTGTCCAGCTAATCTATAGATTCAGACCTAGGGAACCTATCTCTGAAGCTTGTGATCTTCACATCCTTGCTATATCCTGCTTACTCTTTAGAACTTAGCTTCCTCAAATGAAGAAACCCACTCTGGAACATTCAGGGAGGTTCATTGCTCTATGTTTTTGTGGTGTCCCATTAACATGATAAGCACGTCTTGTCTTCAAGACGGAAAGTATGTCAGTCACCGATGATTGAATTTGTTAAATACATCACCATGCTGTTTTGAAATTCACCAATAAATTGTTTCTTTCATTAGACTGTAAGTTCCTTGAGAAGTGAGGCTTCTATAACCAACATATCCTACTGCTTAGCATTGCACCTGCCATATAGCTGGCACGAAGTACTTGAGAAATACTTGATTGAAAAATTGGCCCATTACTAAGAAACTTTGTCATCAGGAAGTGGGAGCCATCCATTTTTTCCTGAGTTTGTTTCACCAGACTCTATGTGGAAATAAGGAGGCTGTCTGCCACCATTGAATCCATCCCCTAACTTTGGCATTCTGCTGAAGCTTAACAAAAACTCCTAATTTTTCCCATAGTTTCATAAGTATGGGTAATTATAATCTAGAATGCCTATTGGTAGTAATTCTGTAGAGCAGGGATGGGGAACCTTTTTTTCTGCCAAGGACCATTTGGACATTTATAACATCATTTGCAGGCCATATAAAATTGTCAACTTAAAAATTAGTCTGCTGTATTTGGTCAAATATTTAATTAACTAACCACTAATGCCTTGAGAGGGTCAGACCAAATGATTTCATGGGCCTTATATGGCCTGTGAGATGGACATTCCCCATCCCTGCTCTAGAGTCTAGGTCGGTGGTTGCCAATCTTTTGGACCTCATGGACCACCAGTGGTCTGTGGACCACCAATTGGTGACCGCTGGTCTAAACCACTGACTCCAGGGAAATGACTCCATCTGAGGTAAATGATACATCCCTCAGGAGTATAGCAAGTAAGTACCTTGTATGCTGAACAGTGGTAACTTCTGTCAACTAAAAAGTAATTCTGTTTACACAGAATTTTGAAGGCATCTGGCCACTCCAGAAGTCATTACCATTCTTTCCTGAGCTCTACTGAGTTCTGAGGGCTTCCCTCACATCTACTGCTGCTTTCTAGTGTCTGCTGTTTTACCATTTATTTTGTGTTCTTTAACTAGACATTGCCTACTAATGAGCTTAGCTAGACTGCTTGAGCCTTGTCTAGTCCCATTCATGCTTGTACCTAGGTGTGTCCTGCTCATATGTTTATTACCCATGTTCAGGGAGTCTTTTTTTTTTTTTTTTTTTTTTTTTTTTTACTTGAGAAGATGCAAGGGAGCCACAACACTCATGATAGACTAATATGATGACAGTGCTTCAGGGCTTGGAGCTGCTGAGTGGCCCTTCTTCTTCTTCTTTTTCTTCCTCTTCCTCTTCTTCTTCCAATGATATGGAGCAAAATAAGATTCATTTTTACAGAAGTTCTTTCTATGTAAATTTTGAGAAACACTTTGAATAAATTAAAGAACCTGTATTTAATATTAAAGAGTGAAAAGATAAGGTACCTTGACACAGTATACTATAGTATTTTTGAGTGTGCTTCATATAGCATACCAGGGATGGGTGAAAAACCTGGATTAAAAAAAATAGTACTTATATTGTCTATTTCTCCAGACTGTGGATAGCTCAATATAGCTGTCTAGATAGAATTAAAAAATAGTGTGCAATATGTATTATTTTAGGAAGTAGTTCTGAATTCATGAGGTTATGATTTTCTAAAATTTGCTTAATAATCCAGGTTGGATGTGATATATGTAAATATATTTTTAGAGTTAATCCTCACTGAAGATATTTTTCCATTGGTTTTTATAGAGAGTGGAAAGGAGGGGGAGAGACAGAGAGAGACATACATTGATTGGTTGCCTTCTCTATGCACCCCAACCTGGGCTCAGGGATTGGGTCTGCAAGGAAGGTGTGTACCCTTTACTGGAATGGAACCTGCTACCCATCAGGCTGCAGGCCAGCACTATCAACTGAGCCAAATCGGCCAGAGCAGATGTGATTTTTAACACCACTTTTTATCTTTTCTTTTTGGTTATCATTTTATTTATTGACGTCATAATGTCATAGAAGCAATTTGTCTTATAAATATTTGATAAACAGATTTGTATCCAAATGGAATTAGTACTTTTCAATTTTGTTCCTACTTGAAACTTTATACTGCATATTTCTCTATTAGTAGTAATGCATACAATTAAAGCAAGAAGTATGTTTCAATACTTGTCAATTGACTTGTTTAAATCTGAAGTAGAATTTTCTTTTAGGTGTGGCGATTCAGTACTGCATTTTGTTCTGTTAATGAGTGGAAATTTGCTGACATCCTAAGCATGGCTGACCACTTGAAGAAGTGCAGTTACAATATTGTAGAGAAACGGGAGGAAGCCATCCCATTGCCATGCATGTGTGTGACACGAGAACTCACGAAGGAAGGACGTTCACTGCGCTCAGTTTTAAAACCTGTACTTTAAAAACTGTAACTCCACTTGCACATACATGCAAGCACCTAGTATAATTTCTTTGTAATATGTGACACTTTATTAATGTATTAAAGATTACAACAAGCTAAATTTATTGTCACTGTGTATATAATGTTTTGAAGTGACATATATTTTTATAAAGTACTGTTTAGTTGGGAAAAAGTTGCCTTAATGTTTGAAATGTGTGAAACTTTTGGAACTTGCTGGACAGGGTGATCTAACTTTTTGCTACATAATTTTCAGAATTAGTATTTTTAATGGTGTGCAAATTTTGGTTCTTAAATTTTTTGCTTCTTAAACGAATAAGATCCTGACCAAACATATTTCCTCATGTTTTTGTGGGTTGCAACCCATACATTCAAAAGCAAAACTTGGATTCACATTTTTGCACATAGGTTTTTCAGGTGAAAAATTCAGTTGCTTAAGCATTGACATAAGATCCTTCTAAAGATTTTATATTCTCCCTTTATACAGTTGTTGACATGTAGATGGTCTCCTAATATATACTTATATAATATTTAAAATCATGACCGTTTGGTAATGCCATTTATTACATTTTAAAAATAATTCACAAAGATGTATTCACTGTATGTATTTACAGCTCTCATTCATAGAGTGGTTCATACACAACTTTCTTTTTGTTAGATGCCACATCCAAAGACTGGCAACATATTATATGACAGGTTAAAGCAAAACAAACAAAAAGCCTGTGAATTTACTTTACTTTGAAGCTGTTCATGGTATTATTTGCTAGGTTTTGATATTAGTGGAGAAGAAAATATACCTCATTTTAAGTTTGAATTGGGCATATTGTATAAATAAATTTCAAGCATTCAGAGTGCAAAGGGCTTCCCTTCCCTTTTTTTGTAAGTATTTAAAATTTTTGATGTTTAAAAAAATCACAAGCATGTTGTTTTAAGACATTAAAAAATGTGAAATTTGGTATCTTTGTAAGATGGACAATCTTAAATGCAGAAACCTGGCATGATTGACAATCTCTTTAAAACAGTTCCAGCTTAATCTCCTATAGCCTTCTCTATCAAAAAAATAGGAACTGCATCTTTGTGTAAAGATCAAAGGTACAACAGAAAAGTATTCAAAGACCTATTCTTGAACTATTATAGCTTTCCAATTGATTAATACTATTATTAACATGATGTGGTCAGTTTAAAAAAATGAATATATCAGTATTTAGAAATAAATTGCAAAAAACGGGGACATGTATTTAAATAATTTGTTTTAAGTAACTTCTGGCATTTGGTAGTCTGAAATGGTGACAAGTTACCTTGTTATAAAATATCAAAACTCTATTGTTTTTTCTTCCTACACTTGTCCCTGAGAGTGCTCTATTGTTACTACGCTCTTGATTCCCATATATGGCAATCAGGCTGGGCAGAGGCATTCCTTGGGCATTAGAAAAGAATTCTAAACTGTTTAAAACTTGTTTTGGTTGAATCAAGACCTTATTATTGTTGAAAGATATAGCACTAAAGACTAATCAATTGTTTCACCTCACCTGTCATTTTAATTAGTGGAGTACTTATTTCTCAATGCTTATACTTTCTTTTTCAATTGAGATTGAATGACATAACCAGTCTCTCTTTCTGTGAAAAAGTCAGAAGTAAGACATCAAATAATATGAAATATAACTCTGCCTTTTAAAGTTTTGTTGAAGAATGTGTCTGGTTAGGATAGCACAAACATTAAGTTTTTGTTTTATGGTTGTGCTTTTTAAAATCCTTGAGTTTTAAGTTTAGACTTATAGTTTCCATACTGGATCATGAGATATTTAACATTTTCCCACCATTTAGTTCTTTCACACATCGTTGGCTGTTTTCTTTTTTGTTTGTTATGCCACCATACTGTTTTTGTTAAAATGTGTTCTTTGTGCAACATTTGTTCAAATTCTAATAAAATTAATATTTTCCCTATGTGGCTCAGTAACTTAAAAAGAAAAACTTTTATTTAAATAAAACTTAATACTTATTTAACAAATTCCAAACACAGTCATACTGTTTCTTAGAGTATGTTTCTGCATGTTACAAGGAGCTGCTTGTTGATTATTACTCACCCATGTTTTACTGGTGAGCATTAAACTTCTTTTTTAATATGGAAAGTTTATCCATTAGCTTCCTATGTTCCCTCAGCATCTTCTTGAAAGTAGTCCCACCTATGGGGTATTGAAAGGCTAAAGAGTTTCTGACATTATTATTTTTCTAAAAGTTGTAATGGGCACAGTTCATTTAGCCTTGTAAGCATGAAAAGATTTGTATGACATCCAAGTGAATTGTCATTTGAGAAGTCTTTTTTACAGTCTTTGCTAACCATCAAGATATAGTGGCAAGTGTAGGATGGAGAGAAATAATCCGAATTCACTTTTATCTGCTGTCTCCTAACTCAGAACTGCTTGTTATTTTAGTTCCTACCCTCCCTCCTTCCCTCTCTACTTTTCTCCCTCACTCCCTCCTTTCCTCCCTCCTTCCCTCTCTCCTTCTTCCATAAACTCTGGGATTGGAGCCAGCAATCTGTTTTAACAAAAGACCTTCACGTGATTATGATTCACAGTAAAGTAGGAGAACTTAGAGGAAAGACTGGGACATGCCAGCTGTTCTCTTGAATGATGTGTTACTGGAGTGGATAAATGTGTGTATGTACATACATGTGTAATCCAAAATTATGAGTTAATGGCTAAGTTAAATGATATAGTTGTGTTAATATTATGTGACAAAATACATTGGGTACTATGGTTTTAAAACATAGTATTTACTATAGTAATTTAAATTTTCTGTTATTAGTATTCTGTTCAAGGTAAATTATAATGCAATTTGCAATTCATTAGCACTTAGATTTAGCCTAGTTATCAATTTTTCTCTTGTTTACTGGTTACAGGGTGATGTGAATGTATTAGATTTCTAGGATAAGTAAAGAGAATAGAAGTAGATAAATACTGGATTAAATCCTATACAAATATTTGTAGGAATCCTTTCAACCCTACAATGAAGGATTTTAAAGATTGAATTGTTGGTTTTTCAATAGCATAAAATCTTTTTTGGTCTTTGACCGTGTGTTGCATACATACCCCATCAATATTGTTACTGTTATTTGCTATCTTTTAGCATTGGGTATTAAAATCATAGTAACATAGAAGATAATGGGGTCAATAAAACGTCCATATTCTTTGAAGACAGGGTAGTTTTATTACTACATTATAACAGATTTTTACCTCTGGTTGTTTGTATGCATTGTTTGGAATTTAGAAGCAAAACACATTTAAGTTTTGCATCTCAGTTTAAGAATGGGGTTTATTAATTTTTAAAACTGTCTAAGTGTGTGTGTTTCATGCATGACACACCACATTTAGAAGGTGATATGACTGGGTCCTGCAGAGGTGGGTGTTTAGAACTGCAGCAGAAGGAAAGCAATTGGCCCTCATTCTTTCAAAGGGCTGGACTAAGCCTTTGATGGAAAGAATTTCTTGGATGTGTGTTTGGCTGATCAGCTAAATACTGTTTTAAATAATCTTACTTCACATGCTCCTGAGGCCTAGGAAGAGAATATTAATTAATGCCTTTAAACAAGATCAACTCATCAGTGACTTGTCCATTGTGTTAAAATAATTAAATATGGGTTTCCTTAGATTTGATCGAAATCTGATTTCAAACAAAAACATGTAGAAGTAGAGGTCAACTCTAAAGGTGTAAACTTTTTGAATAAGAAGAGTGGTTTCTTTCTAAAGTCACCTTTCATGGAATTACAGTACTTCGATTCAAAGTAAATTAAAAAGATGTTCTTTCAAGTTTCCAATATATGGGTAGAAAACTGCGGTTCTCCAAGTTTAGGGTCTGATGAGTGTGGAGAGAAATATTCAGCATGGTTGATTTTTCTACTTTTACAAATACAGAAAGAGAAAGGACATTTAGATATAAGGAAATTACTTTGGAAAATACTGTTGCCTAGAATGTTTGATTGCTAATAAGTGTTCAGAAAGAGTTTTGGGTAATACCAAGAAGAAAAGTAGAAACTAAGTAAGAAAGATATATTGCTTTGAAAATAAAAAAAAATCAGTATCTTTTGCTGAAATTTTTTCAAGTATTTTATTGCATCTGTGAGTAGTAAAATTCTATAAATCCATTGTTTATATGTATATTTATTTGCATGTATAATCTCCATAAATTGGCCACATATGTTTTAATACATTTTGAGAGGTATTAATGGAGATACATCTTGAGGTGCTTTTTTCTAAATCTTAGAATGTTTCAAAACTGACATTTTTTATTCAGAATGTCTGATGTTCCAATGTATTATGTGGGAAGTGACTTTTCATTCATTTAATGAACTACGAAGAAATGGTTAAAAGGATGAATTGTAAAATGCTTTATAAAAATAGAGTAAAACTCAATGATAGGAATCATATATTTTTAAAATATTTCTGACTTGCTGGACTGAAGTGGGTATTCTTTACTATGAAGAAAAGCATTTCTAAAGCAAACTGAAAAACAAGGGGAATAAGTTTCTTTTTTTACTAACACCAATAAAATCTCAAGCACCCCCCAAAGCATTATTAGTCCATTTGCATGCAAATATGATAGTAGATGGTTCTTCAATGCATAGCTACTTCTAGTGGTGGTAATAGTGAATGTGTTTGAAAGTAATAAAACAACATTTCTGTTGAATTCTTTAAGATTGGCAAAATCATCAGGTCAAATTATCTTTTCCCAGTAAAAGCAGATTAATCAGGTTTAATTTTTTACCTTTTCCTAATATGAATTTAGAATTTTCTCAGACAATATCCTTAAACAGATAAATAAGCTGATATGTGTTGGTTCATTCTTTGACAGAGGGACTGACTAGTTAGATTTCTATACCAGTCAAAGAGTAACATTAGCTTACATTATTATTCAGTGGTCTAATATAAAAGAACAGTAGCAATAATTTGTTATTGCTCAAAAGATTGAAGTTGAAAAAAGGAGGTCCTGCCCTTTGCTGTTCTC